CAACGGATATATTCCTTCAACCCCTTTATAAACCTCACTCCTTGGTCATTTTTACAATGTACAAGCACTCCTAAACTCCCCCAATCTTGAAGTTATAATCTTCCATTCAATTCTTCCTCAAATTGATATATTTTGAGAGAAAACTAAGTGTTTTCAAGAGAGTGTTCTTGTCATCCATAGAGCTTTAATCAATTCTGTCTTCTACTCTTTTGAGAGCTATTGTTGAGAGGTTGAAGAAGATTTTTCTTCTTGTTGTTCAAGACTTATGTGACTTAAGTCTTGGTTGTGAAGTCTTGTAGAGGGCATATCTACGAGCGGTTGTGTCGAGGCTTGTGGGATTCAAGTTCTCGAGTTGTAAACGGTTTGTTAAGCACCCGTAAGCTTAACGGAAGTAGTGGTAGCTTCGAGAGAGTCTCTCGGGGAACTGGACTAGCCACGAGGTGGTGAACCAGTATACATCGGTGTGTTCTTTGCCTTCTCTCTTTTATTTCCGCTGCACTTACGATTATATTATTAATCCTTCGAAAATCGGTAATCACTCTCAACAACTCTATTCACCCCCCCTCTAGAGTTGCATGCATTGTCTAACAGCCAAGTTGTTTTTCAACTTCATTCCTGAATTCTTTGAACATTTTAAAGGATTCTGACTTGTGTTTCATGAGATACACATAGCCATATCTACTGAGGTCATCAGTAAAAGTGATGAAGTATGAATAACCACCTCGTGCAGTTGTATTGAAAGGCCCGCAGACATCACTATGAATGAGTGCCAGAAGATCACCAGCTCTTTCACCGTGTCCGGTGAAAGGAGATTTGGTCATCTTACCCAATAAACAAGATTCGCATGTGTCATATGATTCAAGATCAAATGACTCCAGCATTCCCGACCGATGTAGCTTGGATATGCGTTTCTCGTTTATATGACCTAACCTACAATGCCATAGGTATGTTTGGTTCAAACCGTTGGGTTTGTTCCTATTGGCTGATATGTTATAGACAGGCATGTCCAAGTCAAGGACATATAACCCATTGGTCATGTTGGCATTAGCATAGAAAACATTCTTTCTGTAAACGGAAAGGGACTTGTCTTTAATAGAAATGATGAAACCACTCTTATCAAGACATGAAACAGAAATAATGTTTCTGCTAATTGCATGAACGTACAAGCAATCGTTTAATTCCAACATTAGACCACTAGGCAAGACTAAACTATAAGTTCCGATTGCCAAAGCTGCAACAGGTGCACCATTGCCGACTCGGAGTTCAATCTCGCCTCGAGCTAACCGTCTACTCTGCTTCACTCCCTGCATGGTAGTACAGATATGAGACCCACATCCAGTATCTAGTACCCATGATGAAGATATAGACATGTTAACTTCTATAACATACACCTCAATTTCCCCAGATTGGTTATGTAACCAATCATTTTGGGAACGTGCGGACCGACCGGGTTCCCTGAAGAGAGCTTGCAACTAAACAGAGCCTTACTCACGAGAAAACGTTCATGCCTGGATTGCCCCTGGTATAGCTGCCGCAAGGCCACGATCATCTCGTGGGCCTTCATGTCCTCATGTTGTTTTTGCAGCTCGGTTATCATGGTAGCCAGCATGACACAGCTAACCTGGTTGTCATCCTTAACGTGTTTCTCGTAGGCATCTTTGACCGCTTTCAGGGCGTTAGCGGGAGGGGCAGGAGGAATGGGCTTTTCGAGCACATACTCTTTCTCATCCATGCGGAGAACAATGGAGAGATTGCGTTGCCAGTCAACAAAGTTTGTTCCGTTCAATTTATCTTTATCCAGAATGGAACGCAGGGCGAGGTTGTTTGTGTTGTTGTTTGCCATCTACAGAATTTTGCGAAGATAGTTATT